GATTTTTTTTTTTGCACTAATAAAGTTGTGGAGATGTAAAGTGTTTTGTCTAGTGCCAATTATATCATCAGTTATATCGTTATCGCAAATTTTCAAATGTATTTCGTGATAAATATTTTTGGTCATATCACACTGCTCCACTGCTGGGATAATGAGCTGGCCAAAGGAGGAGATAGAAGCCACTGACATCAAGACAAGGAAGCTCCTTACCATGCATGGAGGGTTTCACCCCAAGTCCAGCACCCTGAGGCTGTACGCTAAGTTTAAGGAAGGAGGCCAGGGACTGGTGAGTGTCAGCACCACAGTCCAGGATGAGACAACAAACATCCACGAATACATCCGGAAGATGGCCCCAACCGACCGTGTGCTCAGTGAATACCTCAGGCTGCAGAAACCCAAGAATGAGGAGGAAGAGGAGGCACCATCATGGAAGGACAGGCCCCTGCACGGTATGTACCACTGGCAGATAGCAGAGGTGGCTGACATCCAGAAATCCTATCAGAGGCTGGACAAAGCTGGACTGAAAGACAGCACAGAGGCACTGATCATGGCAGCACAGGAACAAGCTTTGAGCACAAGATCCATAGAGGCTGGGGTCTATCACACCAGGCAAGACCCCAGGTGCAGGCTGTGTAAAGATGCCCCTGAGACAATCCAGCACATAACAGCAGGGTGCAAGATGCTAGCAGGCAGGGCATACATGGAATGCCATAACCAAGTGGCCGGCATAGTGTACAGAAACATCTGTGCCGAATATGGCCTGGAAGTCCCAAGGTCAAACTGGGAGACTGGGTGGTGGAGAATGACCGAGCTAAGATCCTGTGGGACTTCCAGATACAGACGGACAAAATGATGGTGGCTAACCAACCAGACACAGTGGTGATAGACAAACAGAAGAAGACGGCTGTAGTGATAGATGTAGCGGCATCAATGACAGCAACATCAGAAAGAGGGAACACGAGAAGCTTGAGGAATACCAAGGGCTCAGAGAAGAGCTCGACAAGATGTGGAGGGTGAAGGTAACGGTGGTTAATGGTGGAGTTTGAAGGATAGACCATAATTGCCTGTAGGCTGAAATGAAGGTGTGACAGTATGTTTTAACATGCATACTTATCTGCAGTGTGTGACTTTTATTCAAAATGTGAAGCACTTTGCAAGCCTATCTTTTAAAAAGTGCTATACAAATCAATTTATTAATAATGATTATTATTAATTATTATTAATATTAGTATTATCAAGGATGGGGCTCATAACAACAATGCTTAGTAGATAGGGAAGCTAGGACCACAGCACCACCTTGAACAGGATCCAGTAACCGTCACAGTGGCAGACCTTCACGTGTCATATATTCACACCTATTGGCTAAAGAAGCTAACTGCACTCCATAAGCAGCTTCCAGTACAAATGAACTAGCTGCTAATAGATAAGAAACACCCAGAATAGGACAGAAGGCCAGACAGTCCTGATCCCCAAGGATCCCCAGAAGGGAATGATAACCTGCCAAAGCACAACACGGAAGCTCCTGTCAGGCCGCATAGCAGCTAAGAGGATCAGGCACATAAGGAATTGGTAAAAAAGAATGAGTGTTAGGGTTTAAAATGATTAAACAAAGCTGGTTTTATTGTTTTTATATACACAATGCAGTGTGCTCATAAACAAGTTAGCGCTCCATGTTTGAAGGTCAAAAGCTTCATCCAGCGGCATGTCTGGACTGAAATATTGAAGAGTTGACTTAGCGCAGAGGGTTTTGCAACATGCTTACACATCACACTTGATAATGTTAGAAGGATATTCTCTGGACCAAAGGGAGTCTGAACAGAATGTCCTGAACCAGACATGTAGAATCAGTAATATTAAAATGATCAGCGCTAGGCAGGGAGGTGTTTTTGTGTCTGTCTTTGTGATTCCAGGAAAAAGGAGCAGATAGGAGGTGGGGACAAAGTGAAGACTCATAAGGAGACAACAGGACTGCCACATTGCTTCCGGAAGAAGATACCCATAATAGTACTTGTTATTGTTGTAGTATAAAACTGTACGGCCCAAACCAGGGTTATCCTGAGGGAGACAGCTGTTCACATCCATGTCCTTGTAATTTGAACAACAATGCTATAACCTATAGGCCAAATTCAAGACAACTGAACAAGTCACCATCAAGTACCAAGGAGATGCTCTGTCCCAACTGCTGTTCTTCATAGGCATGAAACCCATCACCCATACCTTTAACAAGATTGAATATGTATACTGACAGTGGAATGGAGCAACTGTTAGCCAATTCCTCTAAATGGATGACATCAAGTTGTATGCCAGGGGTGAACGAGACATCGATTCACTCATCCACACCACGAGGATATAAAGCAACAACAGCTAAATGTCATTTGGAGAAGCAGAGAGGGAAGGTAGTCAGAACTGTGGGGATTGCACTAGCAGAAGGCAGACATTGAGGACGGCTACAAGTACTTTGGAATCCCACAGGCAAATGGAAACCATGAAGAAGCCACTAGGAAAACCGCAACCAGCAAATACCTGCAGAGAGAAGGTAGGTGCTGAGGAGTCAGCTGAATGGGGAGAAAAAGATCCAGGTAATCACCGCCTACACCCTGCCGGTTGGTATAATCAGCTGGCCAAAGGAGGTGACGCCACTGACATCAAGACAACAAAACCTTCGGCTGTAGAGGCCCGAGTGCCACAAAAAATAAAAGCAAAAAAAAAATTCAGGAAAAAACAATAAAGAACCATGAATACATCAGAAAGACAGCCACAACTGATCATGTACTTAGTGAATACCTCAGGCATCAGAAACCTGAGAAAGAAGAGGAGGCAGGGAGAAGAATTATGATGGAAGGATCGGGCCCTGCATGTACCACTGGCAGATAGAAGTGGCTGAAATCCTATCAATCGCTGGACAGAGCTGGACTGAGACACAGCACATAGGCACATTCGAAAATAAATTAAAAATTATCCTTGAAAGTTGACCTGAAACTTTCAACACATTCTTACTGTCATCCAACTGCTGTAAATCTGTGCCAAGTTTAATCTCTATTGGCTGCAATATTCCACAAAAATTAAAGGACAATTTTGCTCAATACAGTCAACGCAATATGATCACATCACATCAAAGGAATGTGATAACATTGTATTAAAAATGTATGTAATGTTCTGAAAGGCACATTCAAATAAAATGTATTATTATTATTATTATTAATCATATTATTATTAAAGATCAGCAGTTCAGCCCCTCCAAGGTTCAAGGTTACTGTATTTATACCTTTAGGTAAATTTGTTTTACAGAAAAAAAGATAGCATATGGCATCCCTTCACAAAACACACACACGTATTTAATCCTGACAGACACATATTTGGTAAATAGACAAGATGACTCAAACCAAAAACAGTTCTTATTAGGTTTAGTGAGAGCAGCAGGGACAAAGCTGTTTTTATAATGCTTTGTCCTGCATCTTGTAACTAGAAACCTCCGTCCAGAGGGAAGACACTGATATTCACCCCGTAGAGAATGGGAACCATTATAAAGAACTGATAAAGCCACCCTCTGTACCTGTTTAGAGTACAGAGAGGCAAAATCTGATTTAGTGAGTTTTTCCTCTGTGACAGAGGTCTGACCAAACCATGCCACCAAACAAAGAGATAAAACAGACTCAATAGAAGAACGATAAAACCAAAGTTAAAATTGATTAAAAGACAGTCTAATAGATGGGTTATGGTCAGCAAATCCCAAAGAGGGAGGGATTTACAAGCATTCTTCCACTGAATTTCATGTCAACTATTGAAGATGATTGTTTATGTACATTTTTATTTATTAAAATAAGCCTGTTGGCAGACATGTAGAGAAGGTAACCCAGAGGAAGAGTCAACTGGCAATTCCATGTCCACAATCACAGATAAATTTTTATGTAATATTATATTGAATTTGAACAGAAATGTCCTTATGTTTGTGCAGTGGATTGCGATGAGATGTCCAAGAAGAGGAATCTGATGAGAATTTGAAGTCGAGCATAATTGTCCTTTATTTTCTGTGGGATATTGCTGCCGATAGAAATCAACCTTGACAGAGATGTAGAGTAGCTGAAGGAAGAATAACATTGCCACCCAAACTGAAAAGAAGAATAAATGAACACCCAATCAGGAAAACAATGGTGCAGGAGCTTAATTTCTCTTAATTTCCTGAAGAGAAAAAAAGTGAATGTGTTCATTTGTATGTGTGTGTGTGTGTGTGTGTGTGTGTGTGTGTGTGTGTGTGTGTGTGTGTGTGTGTGTGTGTGTGTGCTTGCGCCTGTGTTTTCAATCAGCAACAAAGAAGAAGCGCTACTGTAAAGCTTAGTGCAGTCAGTGTAAGAAAATTGATGTCGGCTCGCTTGACTGCAGTGCTCTGTGTTAGCCACTGTTGACCATTACTAGGATTCCTTTTAAGTTCTGTCAACTTATTTCCATGGGAAACATGAATGAAAAGTTCTAGGTACTATTTTTGAATTTAAGTAATAAACATTTCATTTTTATTATAGCCTAGAGACTGGTGATCTGTCCAGGTATACCCTGTCTCTTCACCAATGGCAACTGGGATAGTCTCCAACTGCAAACGCACAAACAGATTCTGGTCGGTTTAATAGACAGTGTGTGTGCTGCAGCACCAAGCTATAAACCAGGCTATAAGCCTGGTGCTGCATCTCAAAAGACTGTGAGGGGACTTCACTCAGAGATGGAGAAATATGCAAAAACAGCAAACGGCAGCCAAAATAAACGCTTGCTTTTTGTTTAGAATTCCATCTCTGCACATCTGCATCTGGACCCTAAACTCTGACAGAAACCTCTACACTGCAAAATAGTATGCAAATATTTTGTTGAATTGCTGATGCAGTTATTGTTATCTTGTCCCAAGGCTTGTTCCCCAAGTAGGTTTTCCAACTAAGCTATGTGTACACAGATATTTTATATATAGCAAGATGTATTTTACAGTACAGTGTGAGTGGTTGTTTGCAAGAACTGACCTGGACTACAGCATATTCCACCAGGGATGAAAAACCAAAGAGCAGACAGGCAATGAGCCAAATATCAATAGCCTTTACATAGGAAACCTTTGGTAGCTCTGAAGCCAAGGACATGCTCTCACTGGATAGCGAAAGCACTGACAAAATACCTAGAAAAGCACAGACGTTAACATGTTAATTTTACCATTTTATAATAATCATTTCCAGGTAATTGAGATTTCTGATCATTTAATTCTGCTTGGATACATCAAAAAGAGGAGATTCAATTTTAAAAGTAGTGATCATTATAATACACCATATTGAATATACATATAACATCGCATTTGCTACAACTCAGTTACATCTGAATGCCTTCTTTAAGAGTTCTGTAAATTGAACATTATGATCCTTTATCAAGCACAGTATTAAATGTATGGCTGCATCATTATGTCAATCTGAGCAGAGGGAAACAGTAGTATTAAAATATGTTTTAGTGAGGTAAAGTTTTAAGAAGTGAATGATCAGTCTACAGTTACAGCTAGCACTCTTTTTTTCTCATCATTCAATATTCAATCTGTCTTTGTGGGAACAGAGCAACGAGGAATCTTGACTGAAATTAGGTACTGATTCATAATGAAAATCTCATGCATGCATATAATAATGCTCTCAATAGGACTTGAAAACAAATTTAACATCAGGAAGAGGATGTTTCTCAGAAAATGGCCTGGTTAAAGCCCCTCTGAGACATGCATCTTGTTATTAAATTTGTTGATGTCATGTCTTATTAATCCAATTACAATTCTGTAAAGGCCAGCATAGTCAGATTTGCTTTATATTTGCCCGAATTACATGCTATATATGCTGAAATAACCACATGTTCATAGCAATTGATTACTGAACTAGGTTTGATAAGTATTGCTTTACAGTAGCTTTGTGAAGGTGAAATGTAAGAAACAAAATATATGGCTCTACACAGATAAATGACAAATTTATCAGTTTGTCTTCCAGTAACAGTCGTAGCCACAACAAATAAGAATATGCTCATGTACACACAAAGATGCCATACCATTTCTCTATTCTAAAATCTGGATGGCAAGCTTTATGGAACTTAATGGGGTCCATTTTATATAAAGTAACATGAGATCAGGCATTGCTGGGGAGACTGGATTCAATCAGAACCGATAAAGCTGGGGAGACAGGTGAGACAAGTTTAGAAATGATCCTTGTGCATTAAGGTTAGACATAGACATTTAATCTACATCTGCTTTTCTTTCTTTTCAGTACATGGTACAGCTTTCTCCCATGCTCCTTGTTTCTCATGAAAACACAGCAAAAGGTTGACCCTTGGAGCTACTCTCACTGGAAAGACATGAGACCTCTACACTTTATATTTTAGTCAACTGAATCAACTTTAGATTTAATCAACAATAATCTTATGACTTTTGGTTAACTAAAACTATACTAAAAGTAAAAGAATTTAGGTGACAATATTAAACGAAAATCATCTGTCAAAATTAACAAACTCTTGACAAATGCTTTTCATAAACTTAGTGTTTTCATGAATTCAGCTGCTGTTTTCAAGAAACCTATTTCAAAGCTGAGATTTTAAAGGGAAGCACAGTAATAGAACGTAATTCATTGTCCCATTAATTGCACCAGTATGTATTGACAATGAACCAGCATGGTCAATGCAAGACCTAAGTGGAAATTAACAATTATTAAGTGATTTGTATGTTTTTTTTCCTTTGAGGTGTCCAACTGTCTTGAATAAAGAAGCAGCTGTGTTACCTGCAAACACAAATAATCAATGCCTGTATTGAAATTTAAGCATGAGGAGTCTTAGGCCAAACACTTCTCTGTATAGGGTACCCAGCACTGAAATGCAAACATTTGGTTACAGTTTACTTAAATGTAAAGTGATTCAAACAAAGAATGCAAAATGTGTTTTTGTGGTACTCACCTAGTGGCACCCTTGCAGCTGAGGCATCAGGGTTGATCCAGAATGACAACCAGGACAAAACAACAATCAACAGTGTTGGAGCGTAAACTCCCATCAAGTAAAAACCGACCTGCCGTCGCAACGTAAATATAACCTCGACACAGGTGTAGTATCCTGGAAACAGAGAATGATTAAATACTCAAACACACAGATCTTAAATAGATAAGATAAGCTGTTCATATTCAATATTTTCTGCATTACTTTGAGACAAACTATCTTATTTTCATTGTAGTTAATAATGGCAAATTATCTTTTTAGACAATCCCGACAATCAGACAACTCCTATGAGCAATCACTTGGTGACAACGCGAACAAAAAAACTCGCCTTTAACAGGAAGAAACTATTTAGGGGAGGGGAGAGTAGAAGTGACAAAAGACACACTAGAAGAGAGCGATAGAGTTTAATCACTGCTAATGAATAAAAATAATAATGGTCGATAAATGCACAGAACACGAAAATGAGGTGAGCGAAGAAGAAACAATCAATGAATCATGGGAAGCCCCAAGCAGCCTAAGCCTATTGCTGCGTAACTATGGGAGGATTCAGGCTCACCTGATCCAGAGTTGTCAAAAAGGAAAATTTTAAGCCTAATGTTGAAAGTAGAGAGGGAAGCTGGTTCTGCAGAAGAGGGGCCTGATAACTGAAGGCTCTTCCTCCCATTCTGCTTTGAGAAACTCGGGTAATTCTGCAGTCTGAGAGAAGTGGCCTACTGTGACAATATACTACTATTATTTATTTAAGATAAGATTGGACTTGATTATTTAAGACCTTATTTAAGAAGGATTTTAAATTCTATATTTAACAGGTAGCCTGAGAGTAAGCGATGGAATTAGGAGAAAATATCATCTCTCTTTCTAGTCCCTGTCAGTACTCTTGCTGCAGCATTCTAAACAAACTGAAGGCTTTACAAGAAGCTCTTAGAGTGACCTGATAATAACGGGTTACTATAGCCTAGCCTAGAAGTAATACATGCACAGACTAGTTTTTGCCTGCATAGTATAATAAAATTTCAATTTACAGAAATTGGACATAGTCTTTTAATTCAATTACAGATTACTAACCTGTTCCTTGGTAGTACTTTGTGCAGTTTCCATATTTTATATCCTCTTGCTTGATGTCAAACTGTGGGAGAGCAATCTCATCCATTTGAACTGGGTCAGACTGCCACATGAACACAAGATCACTGGTGGTGTAGCCAACTAAAACATAAAAATTAGAATCATAAATTTTACAGCATCAGCATAATAGACATAAAAAGTACACAATATAATACATAATATGAATAGTTTACATTTTGACTTCAAATTATTTTTTAATTTCTTTGTTTCAACTAATTTTGCCTTCTCCCACTGCAGTATACCATTAGATGAGTATGTTAAAATGGGGATAGCAGCCCCAAAATCTGCTGGAAGTAATTTAAAATCAAGATTCCAGAAGCTACTGGAAGAAGAACAGAGCTCTTTATATTACAGCACATGTGGTAGTTTTCATGAAATATAACATACAAAGTACTGAGCACTTGTTGGCCCCTTTGACTTCACTCTATGCTCCTAAACCATCTTGATTGGGCTTTGGTTTCTCTTCAGCACTGTAGCCAGGCTGACAAAAAATCAGAGCACTGTTGAGCCAACCATCCCTTTAACAGCTAGTAATGACTTCATGAACTTCTTCACAAATAAAATTTTAACCATTAGAGAAAAAAAAAGACTTATAATCATCTCACAGATGTAACATTATCTACAGCACCATTGATATTCATTTAGATTCTTTTTCTCTGATTGATCTTTCTGGGTTAACTTCAGTAATTCATTTCTCCAATCCATCTAATGTCTTTTAGACCCCATTCCTATAAGACTGCTCAGAGAACTCCTGCCATGAATTTAAGCTTCGATCTTAAATATAATCAATCTATCTCTAATATTCGGCTATGTACTACAGGCTTTCAAGCTGGCAGTAATTAAACTTAAAAAGCCATCTCTAGAGCCAGCAGTGTTAGCTAATTGTAGGCCAATCTCTAACCTTCCTTTCATATCAAACATCCTTGAAAGAGTAGTTGTCAAACAGCTAACAGATCATCTGCAGAGGAATGGCTTATTTGAAGGAATGGCTTCAGTCAGGTTTCAGAGCTCATCACAGCACAGAAACAGCTTTAGTGAAGGTTACAAATGATCTTCTTATGGCCTCTGACAGTGGACTCATCTCTGTGCTTGTCCTGCGAGACCTCAGTGCAGCGTTCGATGCTGTCGACCAAAATATCCTATTAGAGCGATTAGAGTACGCTGTCGGCATTACAGGTACCACACTGCAGTGCTTTGTGTCATATCTATCTAATAGACTTCATAGGTTTTCACTGCTATGCAGATAACACACAGCTTTATCCATCCATGATACAGGGACTAGAAAGAGAGAGCAGATTTCTCCAGTATTGGCTTGCCTTCATTGGCTTCCTGTTTAATCCAGAAGTTAATTCCAAATCCTGCTCCTCACACACAAGGTCTTAAATAATCAGGCCCCATCTTATCTTAATGACCTTGTAGTACCATATCACCCTATTAGAGCACTTCGCTCTCGCTCTGCAGGCCTACTTGTTGTTCCTAGAGGATTTAAAAGTAGAATGGGAGGCAGAGCCTTCAGTTTTCAGGCCCCTCTTCTGTGGAACCAGCTTCTAGTTTGGATTCAGGAGACAGACACTATCTCTACTTTCAAGATTAGGCTTAAAACTTTCCTTTTTGCTAAAGCATATAGTTAGGGCTGGACCAGGTGACCCTGAATCCTCCCTTAGTTATGCTGCAATAGACTTAGGCTGCCGGGGATTCCCATGATGCATTGAGTTTTTCATTTCCAGTCACCTTTCTCACTCACTATGTGTTAACAGACCTCTCTGCACTCAATCACACTTGTTATTAATCTCTGTCTCTCTTCCACAGCATGTATTTATCCTGTTTTCCTTCTCTCACCCCAACCGGTTGCAGCAGATGGCCCCGCCCCTCCCTGAGCCTGGTTCTGCTGGAGGTTTCTTCCTGTTAAAAGGGAGTTTTTCCTTCCCAAAGTGTTTGCTCATAGGGGGTCATATGATTGTTGGGTTTTCCTCTGTATGTATTATTGTAGGGTCTACCTTACAATATAAAGCGCCTTGAGGCGACTGTTGCTGTGATTTGGCGCTATATAAATAAAATTGAATTGAATTGAAAAAGATATGACCTAAGTATTTCGCTGAGTATTTCCAATACTTGGTCAGGTAAATAAAAACATGGAAAATTTAGCAAAACGACTATCAGTTGTTATTATATACTTTTGAAAAATGCATCAAAAATGTTTCAAACTGCACTAATACCAAGAACCAACACAGTTGCCCTGAATGGGAAAAAAAATGTGTTTCTTGTTTGCGTGTTTATTTTCTTGTTGTCTTTTCCTCATTCTTAGGCTACGTTCACACTGCAGGCAAAAGCACATCGAACACGACTTTTTTGACCGCATGCGACCCATATCCGATCATGGTATGACAGTTTGAACAGCACAAATCCGATATTTTTAAATCCGACCTGGGTCACTTTCGTATGTGGTACTGAATCCGATACAAATCTGATGTTTTAGAAAGCGACTGCTGTTTGTGTCACAGTTGCCGAGGCGAGCCGTGTGGTGTTGGAGGGAAAGAGGACCCAAAATGCAGGCAGTAGATTGATGATGCTAGTGACGTTTATTTCCAAGTGACGGAGTGACAGAACAGGCAGTGAGGCATGACAATTAACTGAAGAAACCTAGACTGGAAAAACTAAATAACAAACCAGAGATCATACAAAACGGGGTGAGGGGCAGAGAGACGCAAACAAGGAACAGAACACCATGAAACACAGACAAGCTGACAACGAGCACAGACCGACACCCACTATCTATGCACACACACAAGGTAATCAGGTAATCACGCACAGGAGGAAAGAACAGCTGATCCTAATACACAAAGACGACTGGAGGATACAAGCTGAACACAATGACAACACACACAGACCTTCAAAATAAAACAGGAAATCCAGAACACAAACAGGGCACAAGGGGAGGACACAGAATACCAAAATCGGAATAACTAGAAGAGAGGAAAATAATCATATAAAACCCAAAACGCTGGGTCAACGACCCAGCACCATGGCAGTTTCATGTCGCCTTTAAATCCGTCTTTTACATCACTGACACGAGACAGACACCAATTACCAGTGCCGGAGAAGCGCCCAATAAGACATCGTGAACGCTTCCTGGCCATCCAGTGTAGATGTCTGTGAAACTGTTGGGAAGACAATGTTGGAGATATGTGAACATTTTATTTGTACTGTATAATCTGCAGATTCTGACAGAAATCTGCAACTATCCTTTGAAGCACCGCTCCTCTCTTAAACAGCAACAAGGATCATTATTAGGCCATATGTAAATAACAAAATAACTTTATAACTTAAAGCAAAATTGGAAAACATAAAATCCGAAACAGTCAAACAATACTGTTTGGTCTGGGTCTAAACAGAGCGCGTTGTGTGTGATGTCTTCTTTTGCGCATGCGGGCCGCTTTGAGGGTTCACACTAGTGTGTTTGCTGTCACATTTTATTTGTAGTGTGAACAAGCAGACAAAAAAAATTGGATTTGATCAAAAAAATCAGAATTGAGCATTAAGACCTGGAGTGTGAACGTAGCCCTAGCTGCACAGCTGTGACTTGTGACTGAACCTTTTTTATCTGATTCTGGGTCAACAAGACTGAAGATGTTTTGCTGCTCAACAGAGCTCTTGTGTGGTTGATTTAAGAATGCTGGTCCAGTCAGCCAAGTGGTATTAGTGAACTGAGAGGCTTGGACACTTGATGTCCTGCATGTGGTCTTCTGCTGGAAATGCTCTTAGAATATTCATGCTGTTTGATACGATATTTTTAAGGCTTAAATAAGACTCTGCAAGAGAGGTTTGTGTTCCCTTAATCAGGCAAATGGCTTCCTCTTTAGTTGGTTCATTTGGAAACCAGACCCTCATCCACATTCTCACATTCTCCAAAGTGTTTGGAGTCTGGCCCCTGTTGCATTGTTGTTGTTGTGTATGTGTGGCTGGCAGCCGGGACACTGCAGCCGAGAAGTGTTGTAACAGCAACTGTGAAATAATAAAAAAGTAAATGCTGAAAAGCATGCAAACATTGCTGGGTCTGTCAGGGTTATGTTCCATCTATAGCTGGACTCATCACATTTTAATGCAGCTTTGCAGGTGCGGGCAAGATGTCCAGATGATGAGCAGCATCTGAAACAATTTTGTTGCTCTTTTAAGCAGGCCTTCTAATCTTCAGTTGTTTCCAATCTAAAGCCACAGCATTTCCTCAGTGGGTGAGGCTTGTAGTGGATGGGACAATATTTATCTGGTTCATCGTTAGCTGTTACCTTCTGATCTGCATCCGACTAGACATTAGTCTTTTGCATCGACACTGGTTTCCTGAATTTTACAGGCTTTAAGAAAAGCCTCTCTAGCTTGGGAAAATAGTTGCTTTGATGTACAAAGCTGGGATCATTCCTTGTCAAGACAAGGAATGATCCCAACTGCCACCAGGCAGTTTATCTGCCACCAGGCAGATAAACTGAGTAAGGAAAGAGACGGGATGATAAGATATATGATACTCTTCCTTATACTTTGATCCTTGAGAAATCCATTTGTCCTGCAAGTTGCATGGCGGCTTCTGCACAATGGGGCTAATGCTGCAAGCAAGTCCAACTCTTAACTGGTGGTAAGGTTTAAATCCTTTATTGTGGTAAGGAAAGATGACGTTCATGATCTGTAGGTTTCTGGACAGTCATCAAATTGTGATAATTGTGACCGACCAGTTCTATATGTGCCAAAGTTTTTGCCATGTCCATCACACCTGCACTGGATGCATACTCTTCATCAGGGGACTAGCTGCATATTGGTTTTCATTTGTTCATGGTGCAGTCAAAGCACTTAACATTCACAAGAGCACTTTCTTCCTCACTGATCTTCTTCTATGATTAAAGTGCTTACGCATATTCATACTCTGATGGATGCATCAGAGAGCAGCTTTGGTTAATATCTTGCAATATTTGGCATGCAGACTTGGGGGAGCCAGGGATCGATCCACCAAACATTTGATTCCAAACCTTCCAGTAGATGACCTGCTCTGCCTCCTGAGCCACAGCAGCCTGCGGCCTTTAATGTGTCTACCTGGG